GATAGTCATCCATTGGGTCTTCCCTGGGCTTGGCAGGTCTGCCAGCATCCTGAAAGATACAGGAAGTCAGACACCAGTGACACTGCCGCAGCCCGCTCCCATCCCCTGCCAGGGATACAGCTCTCTTGCACTAGAGCCCCAGGCCTGGAAGGCTGGGAAATGGATCTGGAATCAGGGGGCAGCAGGGACAATGAGGCAACCACACTTCATCTGTGCTTTCTCCTTCCAGTCTCTCTACCCACATGCTGGCAGCAACTGCCCAGCTCCCTCCTCTGTGGAGAGAGAGTGTCCCAGGGTCCCTGCACATGCTGTTGCATCAAGCCCCTGTATATATATATATATATGTACAAGTTACTCAGGGTAGAGCTTTAGGGATCACAGCACAGCCCTCCCTGAAAGTCAGGTATTGATGTCACTAACTCTTTACCCATGTTCACTAACCTTCAAGCAGTGCTGCTCAGCCGGTGCCAGCATCTCCCTCTTGTTTGATTTCATTGGCCTGGGTGTCTTTTTGTTCTTTTTGAACCTCACTACTAATCACGATTTTAGAGCCTGACAGATAAACCCCTCCTTTTTAAAACAAGCAACATCAGCTGCTTGTCAAAACAAGCCAACGTCTCCCTGCTGCAGAGGCTGAGTCCAGACAGCAACCAGCACGTAGCAGAATAAATGGATTCCCTCTGCAAGCAGCAAGCAAGGAGGCAGAGCTCTCACGTGCTGTCACTGCTGCACACCCACCCCAGGAACAGGAGTGACTGCACTGACCAGACCCTGAGCTTAAGCCCATGTTATTGTCTCTGGTTTTGGTCTCTCAGGTGTTTAAAGAGATCCAGCACCTCTGAGGTAATAGCTGTGGAGTGAGCCATCTCCTAGTCAATGTCTCTCCAGCCATGTAGGTGCTGCAGATGTGAGGGTTGACTTCAACAAGCAGAGGGGACAGGGCCAGAACAAGTTCTGGTACTGAGCAACCCACTGATTGTCACTCAGAAAGAGGTTTCTCCTGCTTGCCATATCCTGGCAGTGGGATTATGGATCCAACCAGGAACATGATGTTTTCCTTTGAGTCCTTAAGCTCTCTGCCTCCCCCCAGCAGGAGCTGGGATCTCTCCCTGGCCCCTGCTGGTTGCCCTCACGTCAGTCACCTTCAGTGGCTTCTCCTTAGACTCTTCTTTCACGCTGGGCTCCTTGAACTTCTCCAGACCTCCCACCTTCTCTTCAAAGTCAGGTCTCTCCAGCTCAGCTTCCTCAAACTCATCCTCACCTTGGTTATTGGGGTCCTGGGCAGGATCTGCAGCATCATCTGGCATCTGGACAAGAAAAGCCTCTTGTGAATACCAGGCAGCATATCTATCCCCTTGGGAGACAGAAGGCTTGCTGCCTTCACCAGCAAGCAGGAAGTGCTGGCTGGTTAACACTTCAGTCACAGCTCTCTTCAAACATGTTAGTGGTTCTAAAAACAACCCCCTCAGTCTTCATTATCCCTCTGAATCCCTCCAGAGACAAGGAGTTTAGTTTGTTACATAAAGCATCAACTTCAATGGGATAGCTGGATTCTCATTCCAAGCTAGGGCTGCATCCAGATGACAGCATTACTCACCATTGGTTCCTGGACCACAGTCTCTTTCTGAGAGTGCAGGTTCTCCTCCCTCTCAATCACTCCTGCATCTGCAAGGAAAAGGGACAGTTACCAGCATACTCTCTCAAAAGCCAGTGTCACCAGTCAGGATTCCCACTGTTGGGAAGCAGCTGTATTAACTCTATGCCAAGTAGGGATTTGCCTGCTACAGCTGCCAAAGCTGCTCCCAAGGCTGGGGCATAAGCACATGTTGAAGCCTGCCCATAACTTAATGATACATGTCCAGCCCTGGTGCTCATGTGCCTGCCACCACGGGCTGTGTGCTTCTCCCTACAACATCAAAGAAGCCTGTGTGACAGCAGCATTCCCAATGGGACACAGCACGGCCAGGGCATTCGAGCCATTACTGTGGTTGTTCATTCCAGTTCAAGGGCTATCGGTCCTCACCTGCCATGAGGCCTTTTCAGGGTAGAATTCACTTTGATGTGAACCAATCAGTTCTGTTCCTCTAAAGGGGCTTGTTGGAAATTAGGTCAGGAACACATGGAACAGCAGCTAAACACAGCTGTGGGAAAGCATGGGGATACAGAACCTGCTCTCCAGACAGGCATCTGTATGCACCTTAGCTGTCACCTAAGTGTCACTGTTCTGGAGGGGAGGACTTTGCTGCACAGAGTGAACTGAGCCAACAGTTCCAAATCCAGAGCCAAGATCTACTTCAAGAAACCAGGCTGAGAGCATCTTTATAATGTTTAATAGGATGCAAGTCAGCATTTCAAATGAGATCTTCACAGGAATCTCAGCTCCCAGCTTCCCTGTCTTACTGCCTTCAGGACTGCAGCAAATCATTAGCTACATGAAAGCCACGTACTTACTCATTCCCCCTCAGCCTAGCAACACACAGAACTAGCATTAGTCACATCTACACTTCAGTGTCTTTCTGACAGAGGTAACTAGCTGACTTCCAGATCTTACAGGTTATTTCCACATGTGCAAGAGAAATTGATGGTAGAGTCTGTTTGCAGCAAAGAAATCTGTTAACAAAGCATTCACACTGTATCCTGGCCCCTTGAGCACAGCAGAGCATCTCTGCACTGATTCTCAGACTGGATGCCTCTGCTCAAAGCCCATTTTAGCTCTCCACTGCCTGCCTGGCTTACTGTAATACATTTTTGATGTCTTTATTTGCTTCCCAAGGAAGTTTGCAGCTTCTCTATTACACTCATAGTCACACATAACACAAACTACCCACCTTGATTAGCAATAAGTTAGTACTGAACAGCATAGGATTAGGAAACCATACCCATTTCGAGCTCCTCATCATCTGTCCTTTCCTTCTGGCCTTCCTCATCAGCTATCTGATGCTCTTCCCCTCTCTTGTGCTCGGGTGGCTGTGAGCTGACTTTCTGCATCTCTTGCCCAGGCTTGGGCTCAAAATGAAGGCTCTTGGGGTAACTGTGCACTTGTTGTTCATCCATCTGGGCATTCACTTTGTTAACTATGTCTTTCCAGCTGCAACAAGGGCATGAAACAAAACGTAACCCTTCTGCCTCAGTATAGCAAGAGCTGTTTCATACTGCTGCTATTTCGTTATGGCAGAGGAAAAAAACAACTCCATCATATGCAGAAGTTTGTCTTAATTTAAGTTTTTGGCAAAACTAGTGGGTTACATAAGTTACTGTGATATCTGCTTGAAATTGAGTATTTAATATGCCATAAGTACAAAGTTATGCTTTATAAACATGATTTACTGTAGAACTGCTTTAATATATCTCATGAGATACAATAACACATCCACATAGCAATAAACTCCAGTTCCAAATAGATACTTACTCATGCCTTACACATACTCAAATACAAAAATGATGTTTTTGAAAGAATATCAAGCACACAAGTCCTCTTTATTGTTCCAGCTTCATTTAAAATGAAGATACTAAAGTAAAACTGTAGAATTCAGGCCTACAAGGAGGAACACCCTTTTGAAACAACCAGGAAAGCTGCAATACAAAGCTGACAGTTTCCATTGTCTGATGATGTTTGTGGCAAAGCTACAAGCTCCTCACAAAGCTTCACAACTGGGATGGGTATTTAAGCAGCAGATGTTTATAAAATTCTTCCACAGCATCTGTCCCCTGTAGAAACCCAAACAGTGACAAGAGAACCAGCTGAAAACATCTGCATGTTGTTTTGATTTACATGGGGAAAGTGTTTCACTGCTTCATTCAGAGGGAAGCCACGTTCCAGTGTGATTTCCTGCTTCTCCTACCACCACTGCTCAACTGCTTTGATCCATCCACTGACCTGAGAAATCAATTATTCATACACAGCTCTATCTGCGAGAGTTCAGGCAACCCCTTTCAGGCAGCCACAGTCAGGAATTGCTTCCTCTGTAATGCTTCCACCTCAAATACACTCTCCTGCTGCCCACATCAATGTCTGTGCCTGCTTCCTTCATAGCAGGAGTGCCTCAGAGGGACAAGAACTTGATATCAAGATACTTGCCAAATGCAGCACATCCTTCATTAATGCCTCTGCCTGCAGCAATGGCACAGCTCGCAGATACCGAGAGGCTCAGCACCAGAGGACTCTGCAGCTTAACACCATTCCACTGCATGGAAGTGGATTGGAGGTCAGAGAATAAATGGAATATTTTCATATTAGTTTGAATGAAGCCCTGGAAAGCCCAGAACACTGCCTCACAAGGACTGGTTTTTTCCCAAATATCCTTACTCAGGGACACCTTCAGAAACAAAGAAGGAACAAGGAAGTGATGAAATCAGTAATAGGGACTCTCAAAAGTGACTGAAACAGCAACTTTTAACCTGAATAAGTTACCACTAGTTTCAAGCAGGGTTATTGCTTGGCCTCGCCTGACCCAGCTGAGAGTCAGAGGCCTACTTAAGACATCTGAGTTTTTAAGTGCTGAGAAAGGACAAGTGGCCTTTGCTTTAGCAGCTTTTTAAAGCCAGTATACTACTACCATGCACAACTTTCAGTAAGAAAAACCACAACCCAGATTTCCCCATTACGAACCCACCAAAATGCAAACTGGCCATCAAGAGCTCATCTGGAATCTGCTGGTCTCAGCCACCCAACGCCCCAGTTCTTGGCATTGGATGCATGGCCTCTTTTGTGCTCTGTTGTGGTTTGTTGTTGTTCTTGGCACTGACACCTTCTGGAGAAGGTTGGTTTATCCACTCCTTATCACCAAGCTCATGCAGTGTAAGAGTAACAACCTCCAGCTGCTCAGTATGACAGATCCAGGCAAAGAAAAGCACATCAAACACACCATGATCTCTGTTCTTGCCAAGCAAATCCAGTATTTGCATTTTCTGTTTCACAAAGCAGGGACAGCATCCTCTCTAGGCTCTACATAGCTGGGGAGAGGCCATTCTGCCATCACAGCTTCAACCCTCACCTCCAGCTACACCCCCACAAGTCTCTCCTTGTAAAAAGGCAGACTATTCTGTGCTGTTACTCCTTGTGTCCATGCTGATGTTACCCTTTAAAGGAATATGCAAAGCACAGTCTCTGACCTGGGAACATTTCAGGTTAGGTGAACAAACAAAAGTGACAGAGGAGAATAGGAAGGCTCAGGCTGAATTTAGAATTAAATCCAGAAGTCTCCTCTATGATTAAACTAGAACTGAAATCTGATTTTTTCCGGTGAACTGGACAGATATGACCTGGACACACACAGGGGATAAATAAGTTAAATAAGGCAGCACTATTTTCAGAAGCAGGTTTTGGAGCATGGCCAAGCTTTGATGAATTGCAGCCTGAGAAAGACACGTTCTTCCTTTTGAAAACAGTTTCTGCTGTGCCTGCACAGCATCCACAACAACAGCCCCTGACTGGACTCCCAGGTACCACAGCAATACAAGTAACGCAGTGTAGGCATGATCCACTCTGTCACCTCCATGGAATGGTTTGTGCTGTTCTCTAAACCTCCCCTTTGTAAGGGCCTCACCTCCCCAGAGCTGTCTGGGTTCTTACACTAAGAACACGTCTGGAGAACACACTGTGCTGAGGATGGCAGATATGAGCAACAGGGCCATGTTGCAGGGCATTTTAATGCCAAGCCTTCAGCTAAGCTCAGAAGATTGTACCAGTTCCAAGTCTTTTCTTACTGTAAACCCTGATCCTTGTATTGATATGATTGAACTGATTTGTTTGACTTGTCTAAGTGAAACTGAAGTTTATACTGACTATATCATCTCAAGCGCAGGTATGCAGGAACACAGACAGGATGAAAGCCTGGGCTCTGATGGATTCTGCTCTGTCCTCATTTCTGGCATAAACTATTGCTGTAAAGTGTTCTACCCCAATCTGGATAAACCCCATAGGTTCAGGATCAGAGGTCTCAGACCTGTGTGACTTTTCATGCTCTAATCAGGCTCTGTGGAGGAGAATCCCTAGCATCCCTCAGAAGTGCACTGGCAACAGGAAGTCAAGCTCCATTCCCTGGGAGGAAAGAAAACCATAGAAGAGGGAATACAGAGTTTGGGATGTCTTTGCCCTAGAAGCAAAGAAAACACTCTAGTACCTGAACTGGGGCTGGTTTCCTGCTGCTTCTAGAGTACCAGATAACCTTGGAGATGAGAAGCTCTCAGATCTTCAAGGTCTGGTTGTTCCTGCAGAGCTTGGCACATTACTGATTAATTAGTGGGAAAAATGAATTGCAGCTCTAATGTACAGCTTATGCCTCTCATTCATAGAAACGGAGGGAATTTTTAGCCACCCTTGCTGCTGCATATGGTGCAGAGTATCTCCAGTTTGCCAAACAAAACAGGGTATTTCAGTCACCATCCATTAAAGGGAAGAGATTTCTTCCAGTCAGTTCAGACTCTCATCCCACTCTCTCCTCTCGCAAGTAGGAAATCCACGCTGACCTGATCTCACTCAGCAGTAACTCCTCTTTCCCTCTCCTCCCCACACAAACACTTCACTGAACAGCTCAAATACAAAGGCAGCCAACAGAGCATGCACCAACAACATAAGAGCCTTTTATTTTCCAGCACAGCACCCACAGCAGTCTGTGCATTCAGTCACACAGCACTGGTTCTGCTTCAGCTGAGATCGAGGCCTGGCAGCAGCATTCGGTTACAAGCAATAGATGGCAGTGGAACCAATAACAAACACTTTCTTCAACCATCTTTCAAGTAGAAACCACAATAAGCACAAGAAGAGAAGCCAGGGATGTGCCTGTCTGGTACCTCTCAGCCTGAGTACTGCATGTAGAAGGGAGTTTTGCTTCACCAACCTTTGCATCTGGACCTGTTTGCTCCCTGTAGAGCGGTGGTTGTCTGGTGCCTGAGGTTTTTCTGCTGCAGAGGGTTGTTTCAGATCAGAGGGTGACAGTCCAGGAGCCCGGCTTTCCTCATTGCTTTGAACATGAATGCGCATCACCATCTTTAGATCCTGCAGAGAAGACGTGTTTGGGGTACACACAAGCTCCTAATGTGATACCTGAGCATCTCCCTTGCATTTGGGTAGGTTTATGGGCCAGGGAAAGCCTTTCTCAAAGAACAACAGATTCAGAAGTGCTACCCAGCTGGCCTGAAGTAAGAGAAGTCTTTCTGCTTCCACACAGCCAAGAGGAAAAACTGGGAATTTAGCTGACCTAAGCTTTTCCTGGGTAGGTCAATCTCCAAGAGGAGGAACAACAAAACTGCCTCTAAAAAACACCCCACAGGTTGCCATTAGAATAGTTACTGTAATTCCAGTGTAACCACACTGCAATTGCCTGGTTTTTAGCTATCTGCTTTCCATAAGCTCCCTCTCGATCACCCCAGGAGGCAGGGAGGCTGCTTTTATGATTTACTCCTTGCAGATCCAGCAGGATCCAGAAAAAGAACCCGTTCATCCGAGCCCAGCCACTAAACCACAAACCCTTAAGAGTGCACAGGAGTCTGAGACCTGAGGCCAGGACAATTTCCACATCAGGGAGGTGGAATGCACATATGCATTTCCTTACAAATACCATAGCTTTGAGCTTCAAAAGCAAGGGCTCCACAAAACAAGGGGGCAGAACTCACTGGGTTCCCATTTGGCAGGCTGTTCATAGTGCGGGTGAACCTGACCACGTGCCCATCCCCGCGTCTCGCCGGCCAGGCGGGCAGAGCATCCGGCAGCGCGTTGGCATCTTGCCTTGGGGCTGGATGGGTAAAGAGCACGTTGGCCTGTGGCCTTGGGCCATCGTTACCGTACGAGTTCTGGCCCTGCAGCAAAGGGACATCTGCCTGCTTCTGAACCCCGGAGACTTGGGAAGCCAACGGGTTCCCAAAGGGGCGATTCTCCTGGTTGACTGGGAAAGCCTGCAAGAAAGAAAAGATGAGAACAAACTCTGAAGGAACAAGCTCAGTTCCCTCCAGTTCAAAACCCACAGAAGCTCTACAGAACTCCTCTCCCTGGGGCTTCCTGGGAATACCACACCTTCTGCCTCACAAGCTGGAACTGGCTGGTGGCAGGCACCGGCACCTGAAACTGCTGCTGCCCCTTCCCAGCGCCTCCTCCTTTGAAACTTGGCATCTTCTGTAGAGCTTCCTTGAGCTGCCTGAACTCTTCCATCTGGGCCTGAGGGGATGAGAAGTGCACAGAGAAACCTCACACAAAACCAGGGTTAATCCGCTCCTTGCTGAGAACAGCCACTTTTTCATGGCCAGTTGTTCAGCATGGGCACACTACTAAAGAAGATATGATTTTATATATATGAAAGGCTGGAGATAACACCATTAATGACAAGCCCAAGGTAGTCTTCAGCTTTCCCTCCAGATTTCACAGATTTACCCCTTTGCCAGTCTTGCATCTTACTTTATTGCATACTTTTACCCTGAAAGTGCTGACCTGTGACACCAAGTCTTTGCCCAACGCATTTAGTGCATAAGCCATGGACACAACTCCAGCCTTTGCACAAGACTTGCACCCTAGGTCCTGTTAGGTTTGGCTCCCTCTCCTCCGGTGCTCACACACACGTACCACCAAGTCAGCTTTCCTCTTTTCCTTCCTGGAGAGGCATTTCCCCATGGATGCACTCAGCTCAGCAGGGCTGACAACAATTGGCACAATCCTACTTGACTATTCAGTTTACTTTGCAAGACAAATGAGAATTGATTCTCTGGGGCTCTTAAGCGAATGCAACACTCTTCTCTCTACTGCAGCTTATTTCTTCCAGCTCCAACCCTGAAAAGTAGGGCTTGAGAAAGCTACTCAGGAAGAGCTCCCCACTCCCACCCAGTTATTTATAGGAAAGTGATGGGGAAAGCTTTTCATATGCTTGCCAGAGGTACCTGGAAACAGACCAAATTAGGGACTGGGCAGAGTAGGAAAGCTTCCAAGCAGCAAGGAAAGTTTAGCAGGAAATGAATTCCTGAGCAGGCTCTGTTGATTTGTGATCTTCCCCCTGAAATTTGACCTTAATGTGAAGAAAACAAACCAAACCCCAACAAAACCACTCAGCAAAGCTAACATAAAAGGAATGAGGAAAGGAAAAGGAAGCCAAGTTCATGGGATAAAGCCCTGGCTAGTAGGAGACTGCTTCCAGTCAGAACAAGCCAGATGGAAGCAGAACTTCAGTACCCATCAGAAGCCTGCTAAGGTGGTCAGCCCCGAGAGAAAGAAGCTATAAACTAGTCTTAGTGCACAGACTCCCACATGCTGTTTGCACCCCGTCACAGCAAGCTGTGCATGTATCACTTGATGTCTCCATGCCTCATTTTACCTGGCAGAGCAACTGATGTGACAGCTACTGCAGGCTGGGCTTGTGGAACGTGTTAGAATCCTTGGAAAAGGAACATGTTGTCTAGAATGCAAATTACTCCTCTAAACTTTCACCTGCCAGAAGGAAGCAAGACAGGATACGGTGCAAATTGACATGGCAATGAGAAGCCTGGAGCCCTTCTAGGTGTCTGCTCCTCCACATGGCACCTCATCCCACTGAAGGCAACCACAATTCCATTCATCTTTGTGATAGGAATCAGTGATTACACACTACAAAGGACTGATCAGAAAACCAAACAGAGCACTTTAACACTAAGCTCATTGTCCAAAGATCCAAGGAATTTTCTGAAATCATTGGGATCAACCACTGCCTCTTCTGTAGGAGCCAGAAATAGCAGTCAGACAGATGGCTGGAGCACAGCTTCATTACACGACTGTCTGGTACATCCAGAGCAGGCAACTGAGTTCTGTCTCCCTCACCCAGGGCAAATCCTTCTTATTCTTAACTCTGGCAGGAAATCACAGGGATGCTTCTTACAAACCACTTTTCCCATTGGTCTCAACACTGAAGGGCCTAAAAGTTAAGACTGGCAGCACAAAAACTGCCACCACATTTTCCAGTCTGAAGTGCTTGACTTTGTAGCCTCAACCACCCCTGCCCAAGGGGTTTTAACGCTGGTCGGAGTGTGCACTCGTCTGCACAGCTGAACTGCTGACTGCTTTCTCTACTGCAGCACAGGCAAACAGCATTTTAAGGGTACCCTGCTGACGAGCAGTTCAGGAGGTGTGAACGTAGGCCTGCCCGGGGCGCTGGAGAAGCTTGTCCTCTCATGCTGCTTCGATTCCCAGTTTGGGCTCGCTGGACTGACCCCTACAGGGCCCAGAAGTCTTTGTTTAGTTTCCAGCAAGCACACTGCAGGCAGCACCACTGCAGAGAATGCGAGCACCCTGTGGAGGAGCAGGCTGAAAAAGCAGGTCAGTGCTAACCATGACTATGAAGTCAGGCAAGTCCACCCGAGACCCCTCAAACCACACCTGACATGAGCCAAAAAGCTGTCAAATGACAGAGCTACTTAAATCCCTCCTATTTTGCAGGGTGGATCCAGCCAGAACTCAAGAACAATCTTGCAGAAGTCAAAGCCCACTCTGCCCTCCACCTCTACTCAATTTCAGCATCCAGTTCAGGGGAAGAACTAGTTGTCAACAGCATCTAACCACAACTAGCTCCTTGCTTCTGGGCTTATCCTATAATCCAAGGGAATGCTTGAAAGAAGGCTGTTAATTAACAACAGAAAGGCTAATTCAGACTGCAAAGTGACTTGTAAAGTGTATTTACAAAGCTGCTTGTGTCTTGTCTCAGCACAAGAGCCTCAGGGTCTGTAAAGACATGAAGTCCTCCTACTTCTCCCAGCATACCCCCCTTTCTCCCTTTCCCAAGTCTCCCAACTTCAGCTGGATGAGCAGAATTCTGTGAGGTCGGGATTTGCAGGGTGCTGAAGAGCCTCACACCAGGAGCACAGCACCATACGAACAAAAGGTTTGTCTTTTCCCCCTGCAGAAAAACACTTTCCTGCCTCTCCAGTCCTAAGCCACCACCACTTGCATTGCTCCAACACGTCCTAACTGAACACCACTATCTTTACACAGCTCTCTCCAATTTCCAAATTCTTTACAGATCTCCCTCTACTAAGGCTTCACATGGAGGTGTAGAAGGGAACCTTTTTGCCAGGGTTGTTGAGTGTCTGTAGTCTCAGCAAGCACCTCTGCATTGCTGATCCTCTCTGCAATTAGTTATAGGCATAAGCAGAGACAATTCATCATCATTCAGGGTGGAAGTATCTGAGACATGGGTAAGTGGCAGGAGGCATTCCAGGGTTGGGAATATGCTGGTTCTCGCTTACTTGAACCAGTGGCTTGTGTAGCATATCCATATTTTCAGCTACTGGGACAGATTCCAGGCTGGAGAATTTTACTTGTACAGAATGTATCTATACAACCAGCATCATTTTAGGCAACTCACCACACTGGGAAACAGTTGATAACTAGGTTTAGTATTTAGAGAATATTCAATGATACACCCAGCCCCCAGTGACAGGTTGTCCCACGTGGCCACAAACAGCCCCTTGTTGGTTACCTGGGCATTAAGGAGCTGAGAGTGAACTTCCTGGTGGGCCTTCCGAAGCAGTTTGCTCTCTTCTCTGAGTTTAAACACTGTATCTGCAAGAGAACAAGACATTTGCTTAGAAGAGCTATTTTTACAAGTGTACTCTCTCTCTTCCTTATGATAAATTCCTCTCGACCTCACAGATCTCTCAAGCCCAGGGATTACACCAGCTAGGGACTGGCCAAACACACTGACAAACCTGGATCATCCTTCCTTTCAGCACTCAGGAGTCCCACCCATCCAAGGAACTTCCTCTTCTCCGGAGGGTCTCTGCTAACGACCACCATCAGGTCAGGCTCTGGCTGTGCTTGCTATCAGAGCATTTGTTTCCTTATTCCCCTTACTCACTGCAGCTGAATAGCAGAGCAACGCTCCTGCCCCTACCTGTGGTAACAGGGAGGTTGAGAAACAACTGCAAGAGAGGTCTGTTGTGCCTCCTGAACCCACAGCAGATCCAAGGATGTTCCCTTCTACTGCACAGAGGAGCTGCCTCTTGAAAGGATGCTACAAAGACCCACAACACACTTCCACAAAGCAATCACAGGCCAGCTTGCTCCTCAGGCACATTTATTCCTATGCTGTCAAGCAGCAAGCTTCTGCCTTGCAGCCCCCAGGTTGGGCTCCTTTCAAGCTCTTTGCACACTAAGTACTCCAGTGACAAGACACACAATGCACTTGCATTTCACTGCCTGGAATATAATTGTGTATCCTCCAATAAACAGAAAGACTGTCAAAAAATAGCAGCTTTATTTGGGAGGCTGAAGCTCTCTCAGTATCAGTATTGCTGCATGCACTGGGATTTCTCTGCTAACATAGCTGCACCTGCCACTATGGACAGGGATGGGAATTTTTCTCTCTAAAAAGGATGGTCACTTTGCCATAGGCTGAATTCCATGCAAGATTCCAGCTCTACATTATAGATACTTCTGATTGCAGTGGTATATCTTTTTATATATTATTCATCCCTGGGACAGGACATTCTGCCATTGAGGTTGGGTGCTGGAAACAGCCTGGGAAGATGGACAGAGAACATTAATATCTCAGCCTTAAGCTGACCTTCCTGACCAGCTTCCCTCTTGGAATTCCTTTTCTGATCCTTATTCTCCTTCCTCCATACAATTTCTTTTCCTGCTTCACTGGGGGCTGCATATTGCAAGAAAGAGACAAGCAAATATTTAGGTTTCATTTGCTGGTGCTCAATTCCTCCCTTCTCTCACCCAGGAGTGCTCAGAGTGAAAACCCAAACAAAACACCAGCAGATTTCCATCTCCCAGACCTAATCTAAGCAAGAACAGATGTGAACCTTAAACCCCCCCACTCTAGTTAAAGAGGAGACTAAATAGAAACTGCTCTTTGGGAATTACAGGGATCAGCATTCTCTGCAATATTTGCACTACTAAATGCATTTTATAGACCTACACCATTAATTACAAAAAGTATGCTGAATTTGCTTAAATGTTAGCATTTACAGGATTCTGGTAGTGTAGAAACTGGTTTCTACTGTCAAAAGTGTACAGAGATGTGGAAAATGTATATTGAAACAGATGGGATACCTCAATGCCATAATGTTTTCTCTCTGCCACAGAAAACCATGTCTGTTACCTTAGTTACACTCCAGACACAGGATAGGGTAAGGCAGTATTATCTGATGGATGAACCTTTGCTCCTGCCCCAGCCTACTGCAGATCCACAGGCAGGCACCTCTACCTTAGCCTCCTGCCTTTAACTTTTGGATTATCTTGTCTTGAGTGTGACCTCCTTGGGACATGGACTGTTTCACAGTCTGAATACCATCGACATCTGGCACAATGATTTGTTCTCTTACCTGATTCTACACAAAGTCTACACAAGATGAGTAACATAAATATGTAGTATGAGTAAGCAGATAGCAAAAGTCAATTAGGCTTTTGAAATAACACCATGAAAGCTGGTGCTGACAGCAGCCAAGGGTGTCCCATGCAGTGTAGCAGCACAGGCATCTCTGAACCCCAGAGAACTCCAGCTGAGGTACAGAAGGACCAAGGCACTGGACTCATGGTCCTACAGAGTGTTCCTACGCTATTTACAGACCTTCTGGGGACATGCAGAGGAAACACTGTCCTCTCCTGAACCCGGTTCTTTGGTGTTTTCTCAGCTCCCCATCACACTCACCCTGCAAGTTCGCGACTTCACTGTCCTTCTCCTGCTGCAGCTGGGCATATTTCTGGCTCTGAGTCTCCAGTGTCTTACGATGTTCCAGTTTCAAGCTGTTGTGCTGCAGCTGCAGGTCAAGCAGCTGCTTCTTGACATCTTCATGCTGGTTCTGAATAGGAAAAGAAGTGACAAAGTCAGTCCAAGGAGAAGAGTAGTAATTTAGCGATTACCAAGTGCTACTTGAGTGCCTGTTTAATAAGTTGCTTGGGGAGGCAGAGGAGATGGTTGTTCCTCCAATAAGGTAGCTAGAAATCCCAGCTACAGCAAGATACTGTGTTCAGTGGTTCAGAGGGATGTGAAATGCCAGTTAAACTCTGCTGTGTGAAGCAGTTTGGGAGGTGTCCTTGAAAGCTACTAAACTGGAAGCAGAATGTGGTGGCAAGTCCACTCCTGCCTGAAAAAGAGATGGAGATTCTGGGACACAGCCAAAAACTACTCCTACTTCTTCCCAACTTCCCTGCACACCCTGCTCTGTGAGAGCAATGCAGGCTATAATAGCTGCTGCTATCAAACCAAATGCCTGTGCAATACTGCACAAAGCCAAGGTTCTTTCCAGACTTCCAGACATACTAAAGGACAAGACTGCCTGCAAGGAGAGTTTCCATGGTGGATGCAGCATTGGTCTGCACATCTCTTTACAGCAGCAGTTCACCTTTAAGTAGGGCTAAGGTCCAATTCCCATTGCCTTTGGACACCCAACCACTCTGGTTGTTCTCCCTGCTTGGCTTGCTTCCTGATCGCCTGGCTCTTCTCCCACCCACCACTCCAAGCTGCTAGAACAGGAGGGAGGAACCTTTTGCAAGGACATCACATCCTCTCACATAATGAGACTAGAGAGAGCCCACATCCCACCCAGTAACATGGGGCTCATAGGCATAAAATGCCAGGATAACAAGACTCTCACAAGACCACAAACTCTTTCAAGCAGGCCAAGAATGCACCAGACAGAAGTGGGCTGAAGGGCTGTTCTCTTCTCCCTTTCTCTCTTGCAGAGCCCTAGAACAAAACATGCTGAGACATCCTTTTGCTCAGACCCACTGAACCAGAATTCACCTCCCTTTTTGTTCCCATGGTAACCCAGAGAGTCCTTCCACATTCAGTTTGTCAACACCAATCATGTACGCAGATGGACCGGCTGCAGGTGAACCCTGCCCCTTCCACACAACAGCTCCTCAGGACTCAGGCTGCAGTTTCCAGCAGCCTTCCTGTAAAAAACACCTCATCTTCTTCTTCAGAAGCCCCAAACCTCTAACTGCTGTCAGTGATTGCATTTATCCCCAGTAAAACAAAGCATCCATGGCCCAGGCGTTCTCCCCTGAAGCAATTATCCTCCACTAAAAGAAGAGAAATAACTGACTCCAAAAATACATGCAATGCAGAGGAAAAAGCTCTTGGTATGGAGGGGTCCCAGAGACAGAACAAAAAGTGAGACAAGGATGTCAGGTTAATCACATCACAAGATCAGGAGGGAAAAGAGAGAATAAAAGATTCCTGCTTTGGCTTTTGGAGACATTAGGTACTTACTGTTCTCATCAGAGCCATTGGCAGAAAGCACTGCAGAGGAACCCCATCCCTAAAATCATTCTGATACTGAACACCTCAGAAGCCACCAGCATTAGCAAGTGAGAATCGATTTTTTTAAAAGAAACTAAGCAATTGAAGGCATTTTTCGTCCTCATCAGCTCAGGTCAATTAATTTCTAGCCCATATTCTGCCTGGCAGGGGATGTGCATAATGCCTTGTCCTCAGACTGCTCACAGCCAGGAGGAAGGGAGGGAATATTCATCTTTTGACAGCAGCAGGAAACTGAAGTGCCTTGACCAAGGTCACACAAAGCACTTGAGGCCCAGCCAGCTTGTTAAGCACACAGAACATCCTCACTCTCAGCTGGTTTCTAAGGATGGCTGTGACCAATGTATGCAAGGTTTAGGAGGCATCTGAAGAGGATGGGTTTGTAGTTGCAGGACAGCTCTGGAACCTGCTCTGTGTTGGGTTTTTTTCAAAGCAGCATCTCATTCAGGATGCCAACTCATCTTCCAAAACTCAGGAATCCTTCAGCTGAGCTGTGTGAATTCAGGCCAGCTTGTCCTCTCATCCCACCTCCCCTTTGCTGTTCAGACAACATGCAGTGCTCAAGACGCATGAGCTGTGCAGTAGCTCGATCGCACTGAAATCTCTGGGGAAATGAGCAGGTAAAGAGAAAGAAGGATAGAAGAGTACCTCAAAACCATGTATTTCTGCCATGATTTAGAAGCAGCTTTGTACACAGCATTGTCCAAAATGGAATCAGTAATGGGATGCTGAGCCCACAGGCAAAGGAAGGGCACAGCTCATTGCAAGCTTCCAGGTTCCAGCAGCTTCAGGAAGTCCATCTTTCATGTAAAGCCTCCATGCCTGCCTATTGCAGTGAACACAGGATGCATTCTGCAGAGTGAGGTTAACAAAGAAATCTGGTCTCCACTCAAGAGGATGAAGGGAATTGTAAGGTGAAGTCTGGCCCCAGCAAAAAGGCACCTACTGCAGCAGCTATTTTTGGACATAGCCAAGCTCCTTGCCCCTGTGAGGCTGGTGTTCATCAGACACAGATGACTTCAGAACTGATCAGAGGGACAGCAGTGGCCAGAAACACCCAAGTCAGCTATGCTGATGTGGCTGCATGGAAGTCTTGGGTCATATTTGGGACCTGCAGCTTAACAGAGTCAGATGCTTCTGTTCAGCATGACAAGTCTGCTTCCTAGGTGATGATACTGCTGGCAGCAATCTCCCTCCTGAGGAAGCTAGCACCAGTGGGAAGCATTTTTCGCCTGTGCTCCAGTAACAGAAGCGTTACTCAGACTCAGAACCAGCTAGAAGTTGAGCTGAATACTGCTTTTTTTGGGGGGAGGCCTTGGGGAGGAGGCTGAAATCTTCCCCACTGCAGTCCCAAGGGCTGGCCTGTCTTTCAGCAGCTGTAAATATAGTTAAAAAACCAGATTTCTCCCCCCAAAATAAAAGGAAGCAAGAGAAAGGGAGCCAGGACAAACTGCTCTCACTGTCCCCTTGAGACAAGCAAGCCAGAGCATTCTGCTCAGACTGCAGTTGCTATGAAGAGGAACATTACTATTGCAAAGCGTTCCCAGAATCCGCAGTGCTGGATAATACCCAAGAGGCAGAACTGTACTTCCCTTTTCCTGACGTTTGAATCCAAAAGCCAGGCAGCTGGAGGTCCAGCTCTGCTCAGGAAATACAACCCAGTGGTGCTAAGGGCTGCTGGAACGTAGCCCTCTTTCTCCATCCCAGAATTAAATTACCATTTCACTGCCAATGCTCTAACTAGAAACATTTCAACCCCACCATCACCAGCCACACTTGCACTGCTCTAACAAAAGCAAACTTTAACATCAAGATATGCTTTAGAACATCAAGATATAGCATGTGATAAGCTATCAAATCCTATAGGCTGCCTCCCTCTGAGCCTCTTATAAGGACTGGAATACACTGTATTAGCCCAAAAGGGCAAGTTACAATGAATAGGCCTATTTTCACACAAAGAGACCCAGAAGAGAACACTCTGAACAACAGAACTCCTGTGAGATAAACTGCACAAAGACTCCATTGAAATGAGGTACAGGTGAAGGCTGTAATCCAATACAAAGCCCAACAGAATAAATAGGAAACTCCCATGAACCTGAATAGCCAGGAAGGGATGTAGATCAACACCACGGTGTGGTCTCCTCCCTCTGTGCTGGCACTAGCTGCAGGAAACCCTTGGTCTCTCCTAGGCACCTCTGGTCAGCAAAAGCACCAACTCCCCTTCCAGGGAGCATTCCTTAACACACAGCAGATGTGAAAACAGACTCCTCCCTTACCTTCAGGATCTTGTGCTGGGAACTGAGGGCCCCGTATCTGTTCATTGAGTCTTGCTGGGAAGAAAAAGATTCAAGAGTGTCATTAAATCCCAGGAAAAGGTAAGACAGG